AGACCTCAGAGTTCAGTGACAGCCCCTGTGTCACCGTTCATATCAGGAGTCCTTCACCTCCCGCCTGCTGCAACCCACACGCAGCCACCAACCACGTGTGGCTCTTTTAACTGAAATGACATAAAATTCCACACTTCGGTTCTTCATTTGTACTACTGAGCTGCGCAAGCCCTCAGTCGCCAGGTTAGGAAGGCACAGATGGCATAGTTCCATCCTTGCAGCAAATTCTGAGCCCCCAGGAGTGGTGCCGACTGTCCACCGAGGGCTCTGTGCCCAGTAGCCCTTGCTGAGCCAGTGCAGTTGATGAACCAGTCGGGAGCTGAGAACCCGACCCTGGGGGTGGAGGGGGGCACTGGGCGGGAGGGGCACTGCCACAAGTCCCAGAGGTAAGGAGGGAAGCGGGTGGGTGGGGAGCAGCGGGAACCTGCCGGATGGGGAAGACATTGATTTAGAGAGGACGGGAAGGTCGCGGGCACCGCCAAGCCATTGTTGTCCAGCTCTCTCCCTGCACCGCCCCTGGCCCTGGACTCCTCCCAGGTGTCCTCCAGGGTGCGCCCAGCCTGATTGGTATTGTAAGCTCTGGCTCTGACTGCCTGGCTCTTGGCAGCTCGGCCGTCAGGTGATTTGCTAGTTTTTCAAGTAGCGTGTTCTTTCATTCCTCAGTGTTGATTCGAAGTGAAACGATGGCCCCAGGAAATTACAAGCAATTTTCCTGGAGACTTTGAACGTGCAAGCCCAGGAGTTCAGATGTCTGCAGAGTTGCAAGCAGGGGAGCCTGGCCTCGCCACCCTGGGGTGCAGGGGGATACCTGAATCGGGTGGGCCGGGAGCTTTGTTCTGTCCCCAGGCCGGAAGCCACCCAGTAGCAGAGCTGTGGGAGTCAACTTTTTTCTAGTTCACTGTTAACAAGACCCCATGAGGCTGAAACCAAGCTCCACCCGCTACTGACTGTGTGACCTCTCTGGCCTAAATTTCTTTTCTTGAATAACAGAGGTGTGGTCAGATAAGGGAACGGAGGTAAAATGTGGTGGTGGTTAATCGAATGCATTGATTTAAAATCAATCAATGCAGAGCCTGAATATCTGGTTGAGCACTCTGCCGGGTGTGTCTGTGATAGTTTCGGGGTGGATTACTGTCCAATAGGAGCGGCAGCTTGTCATTTCCCACAGGAGCTGGTCTCATCCTCTCTGTTCAAGGCCTGAATGGAACAGAAAAATCAAGTAGGAGCCGGTTTGCTCCTTTAATGCTTGCCAGGCAGGCGCTTGCAGTGAGCTAAGCCCGCCCCCTCTCGCTTATCTTACAAGTCCTCCCCTGCCCTGGGGGGGGGGCGGATTCAGGCCAGGCTAGAACATGGCCCACGGACTCTCCTGGGGCTCAGGCCTCTGACCACAGCCTCGACTTCCACTTGCCGGCTGCAGACCTTGGCTGGTACTGTCACCTTCACGTGTCTTCTGTTGGCTCTGCTTCTCTGAGGACCTAGGTGTGACTGATTGTAGAGCACCCAGCACACAGATAGCACTGTATAGCAGTTTATTAAACCCAGAGACAATCCAGGAGAAGAGCACACCTGCGTGCCGTGCCATGTGTCTGGGTACCTTTTTGTGACTGTCTTATGTTAAGGATGGAATGAGTCATTTTACTGATGATGGTGGCTAACCTTTCCTAAACTCTCGCTTCTAACACCGATCTTTACCACAGTTCATGGAAAGCCTCACTCAGACCTACCCCCGGGCCAGCTCACCGCTACCCCAACTTCAATGTGCTGAGTCGACACCAGGTAGTAGCCACTTGCCTGGATCTCTGGGGGCCCCTTTGACCTGCCCTGTGACACCAGGACAGTGGTGAAGCAACCCCTATGCCCTCCACATCTAAAACCTGTCCATGGTGATCTTTCTGACAAGGTAGCAGGGCTGGACTCAAATTTTTCACCAATGAGAACTTTTGGGGTGTTCACTGAGTGAACACACTGTATCTAATACTGTCATTGTGTTTCCAATGAGAGGGGGAAACTGAGGCTCGGGGAGACTAAGGAACTGGGTTAAGCTGCTCCGTGGGTGAGCTGAAGAGCGAGGGTTTCACTCTATCTGAGTCTGTAATTCTTTGTCTTGATCAGTGTTGAACGAGTGGTTGGAAGTCATTGTTCTGTGGAGCGTGAGGACAGGGGACCCTGGCCACTCCTGGGGGAGCCTTGGGAAGGCTGCCTGCCTTGGCCTTGAAAATGCCTCTCCTGGCAGGAGAAAGGATATGGGGCATTTGCTGGCCCATTCTCTGGCTCCTGGGGCAGCAGTAAGTCTCCGTCCCACAGAGCTCCCCTGCAGCGTCCCCTGCCCACGCCTGCCCTGTCCCTGCCTAACATTCCCACCCCCAACCCCGTGCTCCTCCCCCTGAACGCCTCAGCCTGGCCAGGAAGGGAAGCTGCGCCATGGCTAATGCCCATCGGGGACACCTAGCACTCTACACCCAGTGACACGCAGGAGGTCACTGACACAGAGGCGTCCCACTGATCCTAAGACGGCACTGTACCTGCATGCAGCTCCCTTGGGAATCAAGCCATGCTGACCTCCAGGATCTGATCTCTGCCATCCTGATGTGTGTTGAACACAAATCAGCAACCCACTGTTTAGACTGACACATATTTTCCGTGCACAAATGTTGCCAATAATTAATTCTACCACATGCATGGCCACATCAGTAAATATTTTTATATTCAAATATTTAAAAATTCCCATATAGTTCTATATGTGGGAGATATCATACATTACCTGTCTCTGCCTGTAACTTCAGTTACCAGTTAAATGCTGACAACTCCCAAATTTATATCTCAATTCCAGACATTGCTCCAAAGTTCCAGACTCATATATTCAGCAGCCACTCAACACCCCACTTTCATGTCTCACAGATGCACGAACTCAGAAAATCGAAACCTAAACTCAGGATCCCTCTTGCAAAGCCTGCCAGGTCACCATCCAAAAGACGGACAAGCAGAGATCTCCCGCCCCCACTCTGGGACAGCTTTCCCCTTCAGGGTCATCTGTATCAATCTGCTTGGTTGTTTAACAACTGTTTGCTTTATGGGTCTGTATTAAAAATGAGCAAGAGAGTAGCAAACAAGATAGACAGGATCTTTGCCTCTCAGAGCTCTCAGTCAGAAACCACAGCAGCACATTGTGAACAAATACATAGTATGCACACGGGAAGACAGGTTTACATTCAGGCAACTTCAGTGCTATGCAATTAGATAGTTTGTGCTTGATTTCAGCAAGATCCATCCACAGGAAGAGTGTAGGAGTTAAGAACACAGACCTTAAAATCAGACCAAATTGTTTGGTCAGTATCCTGAGGTGCTGCACACCAACTCTATATGCTGAGCACTCTCCTTGGCACTGGCTGGGAGTTACACCAATGACAAGCAAGTCTTTATACCCACAATGTCTTGGACTACTTCACTTTGTTTAGAGAACTCCCCATCTTGACAAGTAGATGATGTTTCTTCCATTTGCACGTGCTCACTTTCCTGTACTCTCTTGCAGCTAGGTTTCAGGCACAGGAAGAGTTTAGCAGCTTCAATTGCTAGCACGGTGCCTGGGAGACAATCCAGCAGGGGAAACTCCTGCACTGCATGTTCAATGATACTCCACAGCACACTCTTCTGAACAAATTCAGTGATAAAGAGGGGGTCTCTCCATGCTGGCTCATCAAACTCCCTCAATATGGCTTAGGATGTCACCACGTCATTTAAGTGAACCAGTGCTGGGTTCTGTTTGTAACTAAGAATCCAAGGTGACAGCTCCTGCATAATTATTGGGATGTCTCCAGGTAAATTATTTAACTTCTTCGAGCCTCAGTTTCCAAAGCTGCACAGTGATAACCATGCAGTGCTGTAGTCCACAGTCTTGCAGGGAAGGCCAGCTGGTCGTTTGGGTCTTCCGGCACTGACGTCTTCACAGGCTCAGGTGGTAACACCGTATTCCAGAAAAGCCAAAGAATGCATCTCCGTTTTTCTCCTTTTGGGCCCCTTCCAGCTCCTTCGTGGTCAGAATCCTCCTTCCTGGGCTTCTCGTCAACACACAGACACTGGGGATCAGAACCAAGCTTCCTGCCAAGAAGGCAGAGTTCAGAGTCAGGTGGTCCTGAGTGTCGGTCTTGTCTCTGCTGCTGACCAGCCCTGTCCTCAGGTGAACCCTGTAGCATGGCATTGACTGCACTTCCTGTGCCTTAGCTGCTCTCCTCACAATGGAAAACTCCAGAAAATTAGTAGCTTCTACCTTAAGTGCTATTTTATTTTTGCTGTGGTTTCTCGGCTATTAAGGGAAAATATTCACGTACCTGCGCCTTTTGATACTCCCCATCGTCCTGCAGCCTGTCCCCATTGTAAATTCTGCTGCCCCACGTACACCGTTGTACAATTTTCTATGTTCCCACATTACTATACGTAGTCCCCTCAGCAACCCGGAGAGAAGTGTGGAGGTTCTGTCTTAATTCCACTTCACAGGATCAGAACGGTTAGGTCCTAGTCCGTACTTCTTGGTCATATCCCAGCTTTACAGGTAAGCAGAGCATCTAGGAGGAACTCCGTGTGATAGGATCTATAAAATCAAAGATAACCCCAGTGTCTTCTCCCTAGAACCTACGGACACATCCTAGGAAGACTCGTCGGGGTACCCAACCTGGGCTGTGGCTTCCAGGAAAGCGGGGCCCTGCATCAGTGGCAGCAAGGCTCAGCCAGCAGCCTGAGGGCAGGAAGTGGCAGTCGCAGTGACGTGGTGGACCCAGGCTAGCAAACACTCCCTGCTGAGGCCTTTGGCTGTGGCCTGGCTCCCTGGGATGCGTGCGTTTCCTAAACTTGGTTCTCCTGTCTTCCATCAGATTTGAAAGCTGCTCGTTATCTTCCCCCACATGTGCTTTCTTGTTGCCATCTGTTGCTTGCATCTAGTAATCCAAATGACAGCCCCAGGGAGGATCCTGTGACACTCTAGGACACGCCCCCTGGTGCATCAGACCTCTGAGCAGGACTTATGTCTGCACCGGTCTCCACCCAGGCTCCAGAGTCTGGAAGGACAAAGGCACTTTGAGTTGCTTGCTGAGTGGACCCATAACTAAGATTTCTGCGGTCATAGACTGTCCATACGCCTGTGTCCTGCGTCCTGCAGCCTGTCCCCATTGTAAATTCTGCTGCCACGTCCAGGTAACCTGAATACACAAACCATTTACTAGCAACCGGCAGGTTTGGGAGCAGGGGCCTGGAAGGGAGCCCTGAGAGGGGATTTTCAAGATGTCCTGAATGAGTAGCCATCAGGTACTGTGCTCACCCTCAGGGAGAAAGCCAGCCAAGTGGACTCGAAAGCAGAATGAAGACTTTAAGCAGGGCCTGCTTGCGCAGGGCCAGCCCTTCAGGGTTGCTGTAAGTTCAGCGTCTTGGGTTTGTCTAGTTGCCTGTCAGAGTAAAAAGCAGCATGAATTCTGCGTCGGGGCTGCAATGGGCTCTCCCAGAGCTCCCCCATGCTGCCTCTCTGGGCCTCAGGGGCTGGGCACTCGTGGAGTCACTACCGTCCCCAGCAGCTCCACACATCGCCACCAGCACCTTGGAGATGTTTATTCTGCGGATGAGGGAGCCAAGACTCCAAGAGGCCATTGACTGTCGCAGACCACACAGGCACTGAGTGGCAAGGCAGGAGCTGCACTCAGGTCTGCAGGCTCCCACTCTTCCTAGGAAGCCACGGTGCCATTTCCCTCCCCAGGCCGAGACTCTGTCAGGAAGCGGTGACCACGAGGTCCCCGGCAGACCCAGAAGGAGCAGGAAGCCGCTCAGTGGTCTGAGTGACACGCGGGGGTGGCTGCCCATGAGATAGGGTGTGCAGGGATGGGCTGGGCTGTGGGAGATGGAGGGTGATTTCTGGCCTGGGGTGTGCAGGGATGGGCTGGGCTGTGGGAGAGGGAGGGTGATTTCTGGCCTGGTTCTTTTCCTCAGGAAGTCCTGGTGGGGTCATTAATCCAGGAAAGGCCACAAAGAGGGGCGGGGCGGAGGTGCCTGTGAAGCAGACAAAGAGGAAGAAGCGGGGGAGGAGGGACCCGAGAGCCCTAAGAGGCTTCGCCCTCTTCTGTGGCCCCGCTCCAGGAGCTGCTCCTTGACCCCAGGTGGAGGGCAGTGGGGTCCGGCCCCCTCCCCCTGTCCTTACTCCGCCCCTCCGCTGCACTGTCTCCTCCCGGGGCAGTGACAGCTAACACCACTGCCCATGATGCAAGGCTGGACACGGCAGATGGGGCCACTCTGCTCCCGCACAGGTGCCCTGGGAGACACCGTAACTACTGTACAGCCTGCTGGCTTCTAAGGGTGCAGTCACCCTGCCCTCCACAGCCCCACGAGGGCACCTAAAGGTGCCAAGTTTGTATGGGTAGAGCGGCTTCCTGAAGGGCTGACTCCCGTGACGGGAGTCCTGCATCCCACCTGCACGGGCACAGAGATCACCCAGGAGAGACAGCTGTCCCCTCGCTGGCTGCTCCTGCGGTAAGGGGAGGTCCCTGCATGTACCTGGCCTCTCGGGCCTCCTGTCCCTGTGCCCTGGGGAGGAAGTGTTGTGGTAGAGATCTAGAGGTCACTGAGAGCCACATGCAATCCTAAATGTGGGCTTAGCGGTTGACAGATCACTTACTCTTAAGACATGGGTCTGACTGACGCAGGCAGGCCGCTGTGGGCGTGACCTGGAAGGGCTCATCTCTCCCCCCACACTTCCTGTCCACCATGCCATTGTTGCAGTCAGGCGAGTTAGCTAGAAATATTATAGGCCATCAGACAGGGCTAGGTCCTTGAAGGATCCAGTGCAGAAGACCAGATACCTTGCAACTGTGGGGGAGTCAGAGGTCTCCTGTGTGGGCCAGGCCTCAAGACAAAAGACCAAACAAATGCACCTGTATCCTAAGGACTGATAGCTCCCTGCCACCCTGAGGAAGCCAGGAGTCACCATCCCGACCCCCCAGGGAAGTCACTGCTCCCTAAGAATGCCTGCTTTTTACCTGATTTCCTTCCCCATTTGTCCCCCATTTAATCAATTTTACCTGAATGGTTAATCTTACTGGCTAACCATAGTTCTGTTCCCCATCTTGAACCCGTCTAACCCCATGATTTTACTCTATAAAAGTCCTTAGAGAGACAGAGTCCCTGGCAACCTGCTCTGTCTCTCTCAGACAGAACCTTTCTTTTTCTCGATAAATATATTCTTAAGCTCCGTTGCTCCTAAAATTCCTTCTTCCATTTTAGAGACCACGAACTCACACGGACATCTAGTAGATCGGGAGTCTCAGGCCCCTGTATCACCGTGAGCGGCTTCTCCTCCACCAGGCCCCTCTGCCAGGGCACCCCGCCTTGGAACCTCCTGACCATGGGCTGAAACCTCTATGGACTGTGAGCTAAGATGAACCTCTCCTCTTTAAACTGTGTGCGTCGTGTATTTTGTCCCATCTATGAACAAAGTGAATAAAATACAGTTTGGATTCTCCCTGGCTGGCAAACCAGAGCCGGTTGGCTCCATCTCCCTGAGGCCTGGTGCTGGCTTGTCAAAGCCTGAGGAGGGGACTTTGCCTCTCTTCCTCTCTGTGTGGGTACATGCATGGCTCCCCAGGGCCCAGTCTGCTCTGAGGTGTTGTTCTAAAGTCCAGCGAGGGGTCTGGGAAGCCACAGCCCTACTGGGCTTCAGCTTTGAGTATTTTGCTCCAGTCACAGAGATGATAATTCAGTGCCACCGGCCTGACACTTTTTCTCAGTTCAAAATCAGAAGAGAAAGAGGGGACACTGGCCATGTACCCCCCAAGAGCCCTTTCGGGCAGAAAAGACAGCATCAGTGCGGCCACGCGTCTGGGAAAACCTGTCCGTAATGGCGACTAAGGTTCCCATCTGCTCTGGCTTAGTCCGAGATGTCTTGGTACCTCTGCAAACGGCCTCGACAGCAGCACCCCTGTCCCCTCACTCCGCTCCTCCCCCCTCAGCTGGCACTCCCACACCACTCCCATGCCCTCTGACCTCTTAGCATGTGAGCTCCCCTCCAAAGCAGGCAGAGGTCACTCACAACACAAAGAAAGGCCTCTCTAATGAGGCTTCATAGGCATCTCCTTGTCCCTCTGTTGGGCAGAGCTTCGCTAGGTCAGCCTTGTGGGAGCCTGCCAAGTGTCTGGCCGCAGGAAGAAGGGCTCACTCAGACTCACACCATCCCCTGAGTGTCGCAGAAATGCCTGTGTGCTGACGTCAGGGACGAGGGCAGCACAGCATCTCGGGGTATACAGGCCCGCATTCGTGTGCCCATAGAGACACACGTGGTGACAGCAGCTCACCCTCCTGGCTCTGTTCTGCCCAGAGTCAATTGTCGGTTCCCAAGGAGGCGCTGCAGGGAGGAAGTCATTGCCAGCCACCCACAAGGCTGCTGGGGACCATCTGGAGACAAGGGCCTGAGAGGCTCCAGGTCTATTTTATACAACTGTGCAGGGCCTCCAGGAAGAGGAACCTGGGGTGCACCTGAAGATTGCAGGGCCCCCCAAAGCTCTACCGTGCCTCCTTGGCCTTTGGCACTGGCGGGCCAAGGAGATGCTTTCCAAGCCATGGTCTGCTGCCCCTGTGAGGTCCATCTGTGTGACTATGACGTCCCCTCTTCTTTGCCCCCTGGGTTCGGGGTCTCCGTGCTCCCTCCTCCTCTTGGCCCTGGCATATTGCTCATGCTGTTCCTGCAGAGAGGACATCCCATCCCACCTTGGCTTTGTGACGCATGGGTATCTCTATGGTTAAAGACACAATCCGTCACAGTGCCCAAGGGTCTTTCCCTTCTATGTCACACAAACTTATCCAGGCAGAAGGGAGCCCAGATCTCCAGAATCCACACAGAAGGGAGCAGCTGCCAGCTGAAGCAAAAGACCATGAGGCTCCTGCTGAGGACAGAGGCTACTCCAGAAGCCAGGGAGAAAGGCCAGGAGGCAGATGACACAGCCACAGAAGCACCTATGAGGACAAGCACCTCAGACAAAGGCCAAAAAGACTTCCAGAGGGAGGGTGCCGGCTGAGCCCGGACCATGAAGGTTGCATGGGATTTAAATTGTATAAGCCAGGCTTCAGAATACAGATATTCTACCCCAGCTGGGTATGGTGGGACATACCTGTAAACCCAGAACTCTGGGAGGCTGAGGCAGGAGAATCGCCTTTGAGTTCAACCTGGGCAGTTTAGCACGACCTTGTCTCAGAATGAAAAATAAAAAGTAGAATAAGTTTGGGGTATAGCTCAGTGCGAAGTCCCAGAGAGAGGGAGGGAGGGAGGAAGGGAGAAAGAGAGAAAGAGAGAGAGAAGAGAGAGCAGAAGCTTTGTATACCATACCTCTAGCACAATCACGTTTCTCAAGGCTTGAATTCACTACACTTAGCAGTAATGTGAGGAAAGTCCAAAAGAGAAATGAAAAAGAAAGTAAGAAAGAAAGAATGAATGAAAAACTCAAAACTAAGCCAGGTGTGACGGTGCTGTAACCCCAGCACCCGGGGGGCCAAGGCACCAGGAGGACCCCCAGGAGCTGGAGCCCCTCCTAACTACACAGTGAGCCCACGCCCCAAAATAAACAGAGGACCTGAGGAACCCAGGCTTGGCAAAGCAGCCAGAAAAAGGCGCCCAGGGGTGAATTGGCATCACATCTCACATTTCCAAGACAGCCCTGCATTATCTCCGTTGACTTGCTGAATAACAACACCAAGAACAGCAAAGGCCCACTCGAGGAGGGAAAGGCCTCTGGAGGAAAATGTCCTGAGGTTCTTTGGAGTAGGTGAGAAGCATGAAGACCAGAACTGACCCAGAAAATAGAGACAAGGGGAAGTGTTGCTACCTGGGGCAGAAGACAAGGGGACACATTGCCCAGACCAAAGGGGGGGGGGAACAAGGGACAGCCTTCCCACAGGTAGGGGAGGGCTGGGAGGGGACAGGCGGGGGCCCAGGCATCCCCTCGCAGCGGGGTGTTGGGGGTCCCATGGACACTGCGGTGCCTGCTGCCTCCTGAAGGTGACCCAATGTGTGTCCGCAAAGCTCCCCCTCTCTTCCCCTCGTCAACACTAAAACCAGAATAAAAACAAGAGTCGTGCCCCACACATAGGTGGACTCTGCTAACCTCACCCTCGTGGGCTATTTAGGGCTCTCAGAGGGACCCGGATGTGCTGCTGGCTTGGTGCAGAAAAAGCCCCTGTGTGAGGGGCTGCAGCCTGAAGCCCACGCGTGGGGGTAGGGGAGGCGTTTGTGGGCCTGAAGGGCGAAGCCTGTGAAGCCTCCATTTCCACATTTCCATTTTTGCTCTTCCTCTGTCCCCCTCCGAGGAAACTGAGGCACCCGGAGATGATGTGCCCTTGTCTAGGGTCACAACATTAGCAGGACCCTTGATCATCGGTGCCTAGCTTCCCTCCCTGATGCCGTGGTCAGGGTGGGGATGAAGTGGTAGCCACTTTGGGGAGCCTTGGGTTTGGGGTGACACTCCCAGTTCTCTTCCTGTGCAGACAGTCACAGCCAGCCAGGCTGTTCTCCCAGACCTTGGTGCACAGCGGGAAAACTCCAAACCCACCGTTCCTTGGTCAAAGGGAAGGTGTCCCCAGGGTCCTGCAAGGCCAGCTGTGACCTCAGAGAGACAGGAAGCTGGGGACACTGGAGGGCTGGTCCTGTGGCTTTGCAGACGGCTCCCCCAGTGGCCCGGAATGGAAGTGCTTCATTAGGACAGCGGAGGGACCACATGATGGGGTTCACCTGTGAGCTCACCCTGGGATGACCAAGGGATGACCAAGCCTCGGCCAGTGTCCTGTCAGCCTCCTGCCTGGTCCAGCCATCGCCATGTCACCACCAGGCCAAAGTGTCAGCTGTGGGAACTCCCGGGGCCCTGCTGGCCTCCCTCTGCTCCTGGGTGCAGGTGCCGTGCTCAGCAGTCCCTTTGCAAAGTGGCTGAGTGAATGAACCTGCCTGGCTCTGCGCAGGCCGGACTTGAGGTTCTCAGCCCCCTCACCCAATCCTGCTTCTCCGGCCGGGGTCAGGAATCCTACAGCTTAAGAGGCGGATGCCCCTACCTGGAGAGATGCTGTAAAACAGTTTTAGCGGTAATTTACAGCTTGGAATGAATGACCCTGACTCTTTAGAGGCACCTGGGGTGTGCCTAGCGCTCTCTGCACCTCTCTAATCCTCCCCAGAGCCCCACAGAGCTTGCACGATAAATGTGGTGGGTGAGGCTCGGATCGGAGCCCTGCAGTTAGTAGCGGTGCTTGAACTACAGGTTTTCAGGCTCGAAAACCCATGCAACCTCCAGAGGGGATGGGGCTGAGGTCCAAGGGAACATTCTCCCTTGGTATGGACTTTCAGGGGGGCAGGGGCCACCCTCTCTTCTCAGAAGGAGAAAAGGTGGGGCTTCTTCCAGGCATTCAAAATTTAAGGACAATGGGCTTTCAGAGATTTTGCAGAGAGTCAGGGGGACTGTGAACTGCCAGTTCTAACTTAAATGTTTTCAAGCATGAATGCTGCCCGCACACCCCAGGATACAAGCTGTCCTGTGTCCGTGCCTAGACAGAAAGCACACACACCTTTTTATCACTTTGCAGTTGTTGCAGCACCTAAGAAGGTGCAGCACCACTTGGAAGGCACAATAATTACATCAGACCCCGGCCCACTGCTGTCACATGCAGCTAGTGAGAACCACTTAGAGTACTCCACAGAAACGCGGGGCTTCTAAAGACCCTTACTGCCGCATTTCTGTGTAACTGGCTTTCTTTATAACACCTTGCATTCTCCTGAAAATAACACAAACAAAATAAAGCAGAATATAACCAATCAAAACAAGACAGTGTAAGTGACATGGGTCTTCAAAACAAGGTACTAGAAAATCAACAATGGTTACCATCATGCCTCTTGTTGTCTTCAAAATAGCTGTCCACACCAGCAGACATAATAAAATCAAACAAACAAAAACAGAATAGAACCAATGAATACAATACAGGACTTCAAAACAAGATAATAGTAAATCCAAAATGGCTACCATGATATATTTTTTTATCTTCAAAATAGCTGTACATGCCATCAGATACAACAAAATCAAACAAGATAAAACAGAATAAAACCCAACCAAATAAAACAATGAAAATGACACAGGACCCCAAAACAAGATAACAGGGAATCAACAATGGCCACTGCCTTCAGACGGAGACCCCCACAGATGCCACACTGCGTACTGTTATCCTCTGAACAGGCGATCAAGCCACCAGCTCTAGACCTGCAAAGCCAGTGAAACCCTAAACACTGCAAGCAGTAAGTCATATTTTACCTCATTAGCTACCATTGCAGCCTGTGTTTGTCCAGATCAGCTGGTTGCTTACATGGGAGGAGGGGGATGCTGGCTCTTCTTGTCTCCCTGCTGCACACCTGAAAGGGCTTGTGTCCGGCTCTCCCCAGTCAGCCCACGCATGGCACCAACTCCGAGGGGCTACATTTTATGCTAAGCTTGGTGCATGGTCTTCAGCAAGTTGCTAAGGATCCGTGTTACAAAAAATCAAACTTGGAACCCTTGGTTTAGATGTGATTTACCTACTTTACAATTGTATATTCCTTACCTCCTCCAACCAGTTTTATTAAATGAAGTCTTTGGTTATCCATTAATTAGGTGGCAACCTTATTAAAATTAAGAATTCCAGGACCCACATTCAAATGACAAGAGTAGAATCTTGGAACCAGAAACTGGCCCCATGGCAGAATGGTTTGGATGGGCCTGGACCCCCTGGCCGGATGGAACAGCCTCCGCTTCCTCCAGGAGGCTTCTGGGTCTCACCAAGGTTGTTTAGTGTGCTGGAGAGAAAGGCTAAAATCTCCGGTTTAAGTTTTTATGGGTTTAGGGCTTTATTAGCCTCTTAGATTGCGGCTGTTGACAAAATTTTCACAAACTAAGACAACTTACAACAGAAACTTATTCCAGAGCAGTTGTGGGAGCCGGAAGCTCGAAGTCAGGGTGTTGGCAGGACTGGTTCCCCCTGGGCCTCTTGGCAGAGCCCATTCCGTGCTTCTCCCCTGTCTTCTGGGGGGTCCCTGGCAATCACAGGTCTTCTCATTCAGGGGATGCCCCTCTCCAACCTCTGTCCCCTCCCCTGTGTCTGTCTGTGTCTGTCTGTGTTCCAGAATTGCCTTCTCTGATAAAGACACCAGTTGAATGAACTTAGGACTCACCTAGGACCCCAGTATGTAGTCAGGGGTTGTGCAGAAAACAATTAGAATCAGGACATAGAGTTTATAATATTGTTTTATGATGGTCACCAAGAATTAACACAAGAAAATGCAGGAAATCTATCCACAACACCAACGACATAGAATATTTAGTAAAGGGCCTAAATCCCACAGTAATGTTGTGCATGAGTCCAGATGAAGACCCAGAGCTCATGACAATGCCTCCCACGAGTCCTACTGGAGGTCTAGAGCCCAGGAGAAGGACTCATGCCAGTCTCTTATGGATCCATGTTGGGAAGGCCCAAAGGTCAGCAGTGGAAGCCAGAAAGTCTATGCCAGCAGGGTGAAGGAGCTGTGCTGGTAGGTTGAGGGTTCTATGCTGGAGCCGAGAAGTCACACTCACATCAAAGACCAGGGCTGTCCTGAAAATCACCTCAGCTGTCCTCAATGACATAGAGGCCCCGAGCTCCTCCAACAACAAGCAAAGCCAAGTACATGCCAGGAAGCTAGTGTGATGAGCTCATCCTAGAGACCAAGTGGCACACGTCTTCCCCTCTGGAGCCAGGAAGCAAACAATGCTCAATATGAGGACCAGACCTTCTCCAAGAGAACCAACAGCTCATACAGCAACTCGTAGGAGAACCCACAATGCCTCAACGCAATAATGCATTAACGCCTTCCTTCTCCTTCTCCAGGTCTCTATTTATGCTGGCAACTTTCCTCAGGCGGACCATCTACGCCCACCACCATGCTGATGTAATCCAGCTGGTGTTAAGTTGACCCCCAGTTTTTAATCCATAACACCCAGTAAGATCTCAGGTTCATTCGATTCCATCTGCAAACACTCTGTTTCCAAATAAGCCCTCCTGAACAGGTTCGGGGTAGACATAAAATTGAGGGGTGAACTCTATTTAAGAGGGAGGTATTTTATTTTATTTTTCAAAATGCTCATGGTTGACCTTTCTCCTGTCCCCAGAGTCAGCTGTGGTTCTCTAGGTGCCCAGCAGCAGCCTCATTAGGGACCTTATACAAAATGCTGATTACCAGGTTTCCAGAATCCAAGACTCTGGGGTGGAGCACAGGGCGCTGTGTTTGACAAGCCCTCCAGTAAATACAACAAATGTCTGTTGTATCTGTCTGTTTTTTCCTACTATAATGAAATTCCTGAGGCAGCTACTTTATAAAGGAAAGAGGTTTATTTAGCTCACAGTTTGGGACCTGAAAGTGTAAGATCAGCAGATCTCACTGCCTTGGCCTCTGATGAAGGCCTCATGGCAGATGGTGTCATGGTGGGACACAGAGGGGACAGAGAGATCACACAGCCAGATAGGAAGCCAGCAAGAGCCTCAGGAACCAGGTTCAGGAAGGACAAGTTGCTCATGAGAGCCCTCAGTGCAGAAGAGCAGCCCTGCTAATAAGGACACACCTCCAAAGACACAGGGACACCCCCCCAACACAAGGACACACCCCCAAGGACTAACCCCAACAGGCTAAATTGGTAGGGGTAGCCTGGCACTCTCTACCCGTCCTGAACAATTGCCTCTTAAAACTACTGGATGAACCAAACACATCTGGATGCCCACCACTGCTAAAAACACCGAGCCCAGCCGCAGCCCTGTCCTCAGGCGTGAGCACCGTCCCCTTCCACCTCTGGGTTGGTGGTGCCGTCCCAGCCCGCGGTACCCTCAGGGCAGGCCAGCTGGGTGGGTAGTGCTCACACCACACGGCCAGTGGGTGATAAACTCGTGGAGAAGCAAGTCCATCTTGCTCTTGCTGGAAGAGGCCTAAGGAGCACTAAAAGAAGCTATTTCTCTCCTTTTCTGAACAAATAGCAAAGGAAAAACACAATGTGACTTCTGTTTTTGTTTGGTTGGCTCCTCCCTCCCTTTCTGTTTTCCAGAAGGCTTAAAGAGACACATGAGAGAGGACCTGCTCCACGGACGGAGAGACGGAAGCTCTGTGACAGGGATTCCCTGGGCTGGGAACTGTGGCTTGGAGACCCCTGAGAGGGAGGCGGGCTTCAGGGAGGGCCTGGCCAAGGCAAGGTGCACCCAGAAAGGGCCTGAGGCCCCTGGCTGTGGGAGCCACTGCTGAGGCCCTTTGGGGAAGATTCCTGGTGGTGCTTGCAGACCCTGAGCAAGGATTTCCCATCAGGGACCAGAGGCGCTTGCCTCCAGCTCTTGTGGAATTACCTCATTCGCAGGGAAAGATTGAGAGAGAGAGAGAGAGAGAGAGAGAGAGAGGTACCCCCCCCATCTTTCCCCAATAGACACAACTAAGGCTGGGTTTCCCGCCAAGCTGGCAGGTGGAGGACAAAGCCAGACTGATTTGCTTTAGAAAAATAAAGAAAACACGACACTTCTCACACCCAAGGGCTCCAGAGCAGATCCGCGCAGGTTCCAGCTGGCACCAGGAGTTTCACCCCGAAGTCCCAGGCTCCTCCGAGGCCCCTGCCCAGTGGAGAGGCCTCTCTCCTCTAAAACCAGCACTGGGCTCGTTGAGGAAGGAGGCACCTGCAGCCTGCAGAGGTGCAGCGATTAACCCGAGTCTGCCTGCAAGACAGCCTTGGTGATTTATGCTTCCCCGACACTCTGTGCCTCCCCGAGACCCACCAGATTTATGATGGTGACTCACCTCGGCTTCCGCTGGGGGTAGTGAGTGCAGGCTGGCTCAAGGTTCACTGCGGTGTAGGCAAAATATCAAAAAATTAAAATGTTTTTTAAAAAAAGCACCCAGCTAATTACAAGTGAAACACTCCCCGGCTCACACCGGCCAGCTGACTTCATGCCCAGCCGGCAGAAACATGATAAAACTCCCAAGTTGGTCCTTTCAGACTGTAAAGTCAAATTGCATGGCCATGATGTCACAGCCCCGAGCCCCAGCCAGTGGCCCCAGCCAGTCTGATGTATGACGTCCGGTGGGCTGGTGATGGGGTGGCCCGGCACGGTAGAGTTCATCCTGAGGGGTTCATCTTGGGGCCTTGCTTTCCTGCTGCCATGGTGAGGCCACCGTGGGAACCCGTGGAAACCCCAGACTGTCCTCCTCAGAGCCAGTCCCACATACCAGGTTCCGACCGACGGCTTCTCTCTGTGTGCTATACGCCGGCTGGCCCAGAGCCCCAGACACCCCTGCACTGCTGTTCAGCCCCACTCCGTGGCCGTGTCTACCAGCAGTGGGATTTGACACTGGGAGTAAGAAACCACAGGTTTGTGTTCCATGTCTCTCCAAGATGAGCCACGTGGATGTGGAAAGTAATTGAACCTGAGCCTCATGATGCACATTCTGCAGGGTGTGAGGTAGGGACCCGTGTGCCCCGTGGTTCCCGACTTCTGGGTGGGGCGGAAGCCTGATGAGAACCCCTCCAAGAGCACACAAGACCAGCGCCGGGGAGGAGTGCTCTCAGATGGCTCCAGTTTTGCAGACCCTGAAGTGGCTCTGGGAGTCATCCGGGGACTCCTTGTCCTCTGCACACGAGCAGAATGTTTTATAAAGATGGGTTCAGAACGAGGAGAAGGTCCCAACACCAGCTCAGCCAGTGTCCTTCGGGAGTCCGCAGAGAAGCTCTGCCCAGTTCCCTCTCCTTGACTTCAGCTGGAAAAGCTTAGCCTGACTTGAGTTACAGGAGCTCACGGCTGTGTGGTTGGGAAGACCAGGCGGCTGCCGGACCAGCGACCAGGACCTCTGGGGCCAGTTCCGCTGTTTTCTGGCCATGGGGTCCTCAGGAGGTCAGGTGCTCTCTCTGGTCCCCATTTTCTTTCTCTAGCCACAGTGTGTCTATGTATTCTCTGGTCAGTGTGAGAAGCGAGTGTAAACATGGAGTCTGCATATGAAGGGCCTGGATCTGCAGGAGGGCTGGGTCAGGGTCCCCACAGACACTTCACAGTGCTGTGCCTGTGCTGCTCTGTGAGCTGCACATGTGACCAGAGGGTCCTCCGTTACCACCATCTCTGAGAGACAGCTGGAGGCGGTGGGGAGAGCCGAGGCAGACGTTTCCCTGGGAGCTCTCCCGGGGACAGTCTCTGTGTGCAGGGGACACTGGAGTCCTGAGCCACTTCGAGAAAGACTCCCCACCGAATTCTCATCCAAAGGGACTGGCAAGGTAGTGAAACTTGCAACTTTGCACTCGAAGCTGAGGCAGGAGGACTGCAGAGCATTCAAGGCCAGCCTGGGATACAGAGACAGGTCAAGGCCAGCCTGAACTGCACAGTGAGGCCCCGCCTCAGAAAGAGATAGCAGAGATAACAAGTGTTTTAATGGGAAATTCTTAACCTTTCAGCTAAACTCCACAAATGGGTGGCAAATGGCCCATCCAGAACAAAACAGACAGACCGGAAAGTAGGCGCCCGTTTCCACACCGCCTCTGCCAGGTCCCAGGGACCACACAAAGCGAGAAGGAAGTTCCGATCTCTGAAAAGAAAGTTGAAAAGCCGAGAGAGGCTCTGGAAGCCTTAAGGTAAGGAAAGAAACCCTGCATACAAGCGGCAGGGCTGTCCAGGGAAAGATGGAGACCAGTCAACCCCAGGGCAGCCTGCAGGCTACAAGGGCATGGTGGTCCATGCCTGTAATCCCAGCGCTCTGGGAGGCAGAGGCAGGAGCAACAAAACTGCAAGCCGAGCCAAGCATGTTAGCAAGACCCTGTTTCAAAATGTAAAAGGGCTGGTGACAGGGCCGGGTTCAATCCCTGGTACCAGGAAAATATTACATCTGCACATCAGCTCTCAGCCAGGGCGGGTAGGGCTCGCCTTCCTGGCCAGGTGTGCTTGGCCACCGGAAGTCAGGAAGGTGGACCGAGGACTCCAAGCCCCTGCATCTAGAAGACCAACTTGGGTGGTGCCAGGAGGGCCCGGGACTCTGACCCCGCCTCTCACCAGCGCCATCGTCACCTGCAGGGAGCCCCTTAGCCTGGACAGGACATGCCAGAGGGGCCACAGGGCCAGTCCCAAGCTGGAAAAGGGTGCTGGCGGCCCAAGCTGGCAACACTGTGCAGATCGTCCCGTGCTGGGTGGCCTTCCAGGCCCGTTATCCTCAGTCCACCTCCTCACCCCACAAGCAGGGCAGTCAGAGCCGTGCGCACCCAGGAGGGCTGCGTGTCTTTGGAGAAGTTATATAGCCTCACATGTCTTGATTTTTCATCAACTGCAGAAAGATAAAGATAAAATTATCTCAGTGATTTGCAAAGTTAAACTGAAATCGGGTATTCTGCCCAGCACCAGAGCAGAATGATACCTAGCAAATTGGAACTAAGAGGTGGGCTTGCTGACACACACTGGACATCCCAGCCTTCTGGGAGGCTGAAGCAGGAGGATCACAAGTTCAAGCCCAGCCTGAACAATTTAGCAACATGAGGAGACTGTGTCTCAGAATAAAAGAATAAAGTAGGGGTGAGAGACATAGCTCGATGCAAAGGCGCGTGCTCCAGTGCCCAGCACAAACCTCAGTGCAGTATCGCTTGTCCACCTCACTAGGGTCATCCTGCTACAGCACTGTCCGGCCTCTTGCCCTTGTTGCGGGGGGGGGGGGCTGCCTGGTTTCTCTCGTCCCCTCCAGCTCCCTGCTGCCCAGAGGAGAAAGCCAGCCAGTGTCTCCTGCAGGAGAGTTGGGGAGAGGTCCCTCGGATACCGCCCAGCCCTGCCTGCTCTCTTCTCCTGGTCTGAGGCTGGCTGCTCCCTGCTCCTCCTCCCAGCGCAGCCCCCAGACCCCGTCTAGAGCCGCCCTGTGCTGGGAAACATCCAGTCTTTTCAGGTCCCAGCAGCCCGCAGACGGCGCTCCATCCCAGCCCTCCCTGCATCCCTGAAGATGCTGGCCACCCCTTCTTTTACCCCTCAGTCAGGTCAGAACTCTGGTGAAAAGGAGAGAGAGGGGTGCTGCTTATTAGGTGCCCCCTAAAATTCCAACAGTGAGAAGTAATTCTGTGCGTGTTCGGAGCGGAGATTTGTCTCGTGGCTTTGGTGAAACAGTTCAAAGAGAGGATTTTTATTTCAAACCCACAGACTTTTTCTTCCCTGGAACCCCATTGGCATCTCTGTCAACATTCCAGACACCCGATGCTCCTGGGGTTTCTAACAGAAACATGCACTTTCATGATATAAAAAGAGGAAAATGGGGCTCTCTGCCCACTCCTTAATCCACGCACCCCTGGAGCCCAGGTTCACAGTTTCCGTGAGCACCCACAGGCTTTTTGCTGAACCCTAGATCCTCCTTTCCCAGCCCCCTGCATGGAAGGAGTCCTGTGTGTGGTTTTCTTATAGGCTTCCACGACTGAGCTACCTCAGGCAAACTGTCCCGGGCTCCCTGCAGAGAGGCAGAGGAGGGCTCCTCTGCATAGGCTGACTCCTGTTTGGAAATGCTCACTGTGTGAAGCAGCCAGGCTGAGATTGGGGACCGGGGTGCTCTGGCTCAGTAAATCAGTCCTCTTTGACTGTGTCCCCTTCAGCCTGCATCTCCCCCCCCCCCCGACAGGCAGCAGGGAGCTTCTTAGCTGAGTGGCTCCTCTCTGGCCTTTGTGTGCAGAGCTGATTGCCAGGGCAGCTGCATGGAGGCTCCAGGGCTGTCTGAGGCACGGGAAAGAAGCCAAATGGATCCTTGAGCCAGTGGACACCCACAGGCGATGGACGGCAGGCCTAGCATGAAGTGGGTTGATTCTGGGCTCGGAGCAGGGTCTGCTTTGGCACAGGAGAGGTTGGAGCTTCTCCCTCATGTCTCGATTTTAATATGCGTGGGAATCACCAAAATGCAGTAGGAATTTCGTTTCTGGTTCAAGATTTCTGGTGGGGACTGAGCAGCCTGCGTCTCTAGGTGATGTGTTGGAGCAGACATTGAGTCCTAAACTTCTAGAACTAATTCATTCTGTCACCTGGATGAACATCAGTGTCCTTAGTCTTCCAGAACTGGACACACTCTCTACACTCACCTGTGTCTCATGAGACAACACAGTAAGTACTTCGCGACAGTACCTAGCTCAGTGTGTGCTTCTGCTAAACAGTAGCTCACCTGCATCAGCGTCAGCCCAAGGGGGTGAGCAGGCGACAGCCCACAGCCAGCTCTGTCCTGCTGCCTGCTTCAGAAATGGTTTCATTGCCACAGATGTAGCTCAGTGGTAGACTGCTGGCCCAGCAAGTGTGAAATGTTGGGTTCCTCCCCCAACATCGACACCTAAAGAAAGAAGAGAGAGGATTATAGATGGTTTTCTCGGGACCCAGCATGCTTACCCCTGTTTCGTCTATGGCAGCTTCTTACTGCAGTCACAGAGAAAGAGGGTCACAGAGACACCATGAAGAGCCCACGGGCTAAGGTATTTCTTTGAGGCTTCTCAAAGAAACCTCTCAAAGAAGCGTTCGCCATCCTAATCAATACCACTTACTCAGCAGTGAAAATCTGTCACAGACTGTTGCTTGCTAGGCCATGGTGAAAACACACTTTTCCTCCTGGAAAGGTCTTAGCTGCCCACAAATGTCCTGAATCTCTGCCAGGTCTCCAACAAGATGTCCCCAACATGCACACCCCACTGACACTCATCTTTGAGATGGAGCTCATGATCACAGCTGCTTCAGGCTGCAGCCGTGTAGACCCGCTGGGGTCAGGCTGCTAAGTTCTCAGAATGCTGCCTGGAACTTACCACTTACGCCACATATGTTCCCCAGTACGATCACTGTCCTTACAGGAAGTGCCATTCAGATGTCACGGCAGCAAGAGGGTGCACACAGGAAACATGACCGGTCCTAATCTTGCCCTCATTAACCTAAGCTTTCCTGGGGAGTCAGAGCCCAGGCACCTCCCAGCCTCCTCCCCGAGGTTGTCTGGCTGTGTGGCCGCCAGAAGTCCTCCCTCTAGCTTGACCCAGCAGGATGCTAGTGATATCACCAACAGCAGATGCCTCCCCAGGAGCTATGGAGAGACACTGCTCGGAGTTCATGGCCACAGCAGACCACCGGCCAGGGGAGACCAACAGCTGTTTCCTGCCCAGGGTGATGTGGACAAGGGCAGCACTGTCACCCAGCTGAGGACAGCCAGAGCCAGGATTCCAGCCCGGTTCTGTCTCAGTCGGGGGCCACAGCACAACCCCAAGCTCTACTGCTAACATCAGAGAGCGAGTGGGTTTGCAGTGAGCTGTCCTCCCAGGCAGCAGGTACGTTCTAAGGAAGCGGAAAAACCTTCCCAGCCTGAGGTGCAGCGACTTCAGAAGAGGCAGACACAGCTGCCTCACCGCCGGCTCCCTGGAGAACAGACCAGAACCCCAGCGCAAAGGAAGGCGTCCCTGGCTGACACCCAGGTGGCCTCTGCTAACAAGCAGGGGCTTTGGGTCAGGTTCTGTTGGTGAACTAAAGGCTTAGCGCTGGCCTGGACCCTGGACCCAGGTTCTGTGCAGATCACACCATGACAGCTTTGAAATCCCAGAGACCAGAGTTCGAAGCCAGCCCAGTCATCGCCAGCTGTGCTGTCAGGCACGTTCCCGTGGAGCCGCAGCTCCTCCTCTGTGGTGGAGCCTGAGGCAGTGCCAGCATGGTAGGGCCATCGTAAAGGTAACCTGACATGTGAGACGTCACAGGGGTGGCACCACGGAGCACAGCCTCAGCCCAGCCCGGCCTGGCCTCCGGAGGGTGTCTGTGGCTGTCCCTCCCGGCCCTCTGAATTCCCGCTTCCGGCGTGACAGGAGACATTTCAGGGCTCTCTGCGTCCACATCCACCGCCAAGCCTTGAGGCGATCTTGTTTCTTCACTTTTTGGCACATTTTGTACATAATGATGCATTCATCGCGGGGACTTTGCACCCCTCCGTGGGGGTTCTCACTGCTTCTTTTAACCCATCCCCCTCCCTGCTTCCCCTCCTCCCCTCCTGACTTACCAAAGCTTGGTTTCCATTGTTCCTTCCATTCTTTTTTCCCATTCTTTCTTGTCCCTCCTCCCTTGCCCCCTTCCCGTTTGAAATTTGCTTCCCGTTTCCCCGTGTCCAGCCCACACATCGGTCCTTATTTATACTTTTCCGTCTTTACAACAGAGAAGCAGCACAGTGTCTACACTTGCACGTCAGTTGGTGTCCCCTAAGAGGGTGGTCTCAGGTGCTCTTGACCACGGAAGTATCCTACTTCCCCGCCAGTTTTTGAAAGATACTTTTGCAGGGTTAGTGGTTATTTTATTTTAGGACTTTACGTCAAGCTCTGTTTGACTTGAAGATCTGCGTTGAGAAGTCTGCTGTGATTCTAATGGGTTTTCCTGTACAGGTGATTTGTTTCTTTCCTCTAATCACTTTTAATATTCTATTCTTGTGTTAAATTTCTGGAATCTTGACTATTGTTTGCCTTGGTGTAGATTTTCCTTTTGGTCATGGCTTATTGGAGATCTATGTGAATAACTTATCTGTATGTCAAATTCTTTTTTCCTGCCTGTGAGGCTTTCTGCCATGATTTCTGCATACAGGTTTTTTATGTCACTTGAGTTATCTCTTGCTTCTTAGTGACTCTGATCAAACTTGTATTATTATCTTTCTTTGCATCATCTAGCAGTTGTTTGATTGCTTTTTTATGATCCTTTATTTTTAGGAAATCTTTATCATGATTGTTAACTGCCATCCTGTCTTCTATATCTGAAGTCCTGTCCTCACATTGGCTCATTCTGCTGTGTGTATTTTCAATGGAATTTTTAATCTCCTTTATATCTGTTTGAATCTATTTCTGGATTTCGTTTTTGTCCTATGTTGGACATTAATGATTTCCATCACTTTCCTAAGCTCCTCTATGCTTTTTTTTGGTCTATGTTCACTCTAGATTCCCTAACCAAGTCCTTCATTGTGATCATAATCTCTTTTTCTTAACCTGAGAAATTATTTCTGATCTGATTTTTTTCTATTGCCTCATTTATCTGTTTTGCTATTTCTGTTAACAGTCCAGAAAATTTAGGTGAGTGGCTTTTGATTTTTTTTTCCACCTGGTTTTCTTCTGGACTTGCCCAGGGCAGACAGAGGTCTGGAGTTGTGTCTTGTTTCTGTGTCTTGTCATTCTCTACTTTTTAAAATTTGTTTTTTGCGTTTATGCTTGCAAATTGCTTACAAAACTAACTTTAACACTCGCACTGATGTCCCCCTGGGAAATGACTATTCTTCAGAGGCTTTTGATCTTTGAATCTGCCTCCAGGGATAAGAAGCTGCTGCCTGCTTGGCCCAGGCCGTCCATTGCTCCTGGACTGTGGTAGTGATTACGACCCCAGTCACTCACAGTGTTGTCATATAAGGAAATACAGCTGATCACAGCAGGTGTCACCCCCTGGCTCAAGTGGTACAATTAACAATCATCATGCACACTGCAGACTGTAGTACCATTTGATACCATTAACCATAGGAGTAAGATCTATAGTTACAGTGGACCCTTGAATTATAAACTCAAATCATTCATGGGGCTGGTTGTAACTCAAGTTGGTCACAAGACTATTTTTCTCATAATGGAAACACACACAATGCATCCCCAGCTTCCAAAGCAACCCTTAAGTAACCTTTTTATCATAAAAATGATTGTATAATGCAGATAATTTATCAGGAACATCAATAATTTTCCTAGTGTATTCATCCAAAAGTCACAAAATGTGCCTCGTTTGCCAGAGACATTAATTCTACACTGTACTCACCATTCAAATTGCTATCTTTAGCTTGCAGGGAGGATGGATGGAAGGTGGCTCTTGTTTGGAAAGAGACTCCCCTTTCATAAGAACATCAGAAATCCATCTCTGTGGTGTTCTTTTTCTCCTTGGGAGGTCTGTCACCCTAGGACCTGCTTCTGACTCACTGGACACAACCTTTTCAGAACTAAACACTGGTCTAAGGTCATCTGTTTCTGTCTTTTCTTTTCTGTTTGAGACAGGGTTTCACTGTGTAGTTCAGGCTGGCTGTGCAGTCATGGCAATCCTCCCGCCTCAGCCTCCCTAGTGCTGGGACGCCTGGTGCTTAACACTGTCCTCTTCTATTGTGTGGCTTTCTTTACCTCCCCTTCCTTCCTTAGCTTTTCTTCTAGCTTTTCAGAGACCATTTTGATAGCAGTATGCATAGTGATTATACAAAGCACTGACAGAAATCACATCCACAGACACACACATCTGGGTTCAGATCAGTGCTGGTGTGTGCTTTCCTACCCTTTTCTGGCATTGTGAGGCTTTGCTTATTAACCACACAAGTGGCCAGCATTTGCTCGACTCTGGTCTTTAGCTCAACCTAAAATTCTTGTTGTAACCCTTTGCGTAACCCTAGTTGTAACAAAATTCTTGTTGTTGTGTGTGAGGCTGGTTGCAGATTATAAAATCCAACACAAACGGGAAACTTGTACTCTCCTCGGTGGAGGGATTTTACCTTTGGGTGGGGTGGGGAGAAAATAGAGATCTAAACAAAGAGAAAGATACCAGAAGAAGGGCGGACAGAGGAAGCCACCCAAGCTTCAGGACACTAGAAAAGAAGGGCAGGAGAGAAAGACAGAAGGAGGGAAAAAAGATCAGGCAAACCAGGAAAACCAAGGACCATGTTGATTCACATTAAAAAATCCAAAAAATCAAAAGGCAGACAAGCGAAGGCTGGAGGGAACGCAGCAGAGACACAGGCGTGTGGAACCGCAGCACGGGAAGGAGGGTGAGGCTGCGTGTGCGAGGTGCTGAGAGTCCTCGGGCAGCAAGGAGAGGGCTGAGGGGGCGGCTCGCCCACCCCAGCCTCCTCCCGGCAGCACTGCCTGACAGAGGAGAGGCCGCTTTCCATCCTCCGAAGCCTGAGGGCAAGCTGGGGGACCACCGCAGGCAGGAGCTCCCTGGCCGCTGCTGGTGTGTGCCGTATGCCGCAGGCGCAGCACGCTCCGTGTGGGGGACGGCCTTACACCCCAGGTCTATTCCATTGATTGACTCTACTACACTCCTGGGGTTCCGTCCGCTTACTGGGGACTCCCCAGAATGCAGCTCCACAGCTGCCATCCTGAGCAGCCCACCCCCACCCACCTCAGAGGCAGAGGGAAGGGCGGCTGCCCCGCGCCCAGAGGGACCTGAATTTCATCTCAGTCTCGCTCAGAGCTGCAGGGTTGTGGTCCAGGTGCTCCATCCAGCACATGTGCAAAGCAGAGGCCTCTGGAGATGACCAGCGCAGCCCTGTCCAGCGTCGCCCCCAAGGAAGCCCTGGCTCTCTGCCATCCTTGC